TAACATACCACAGTGCTGATTGATATCTCTAATATATAAATATTGTTAGTAACAGTAGTCTTAGCATCATCATCAGTCTCTCGTCCACCAAACAGAACAGCTCTAGTGTTGTTGATCTTTTCAATGATAAAGTTATCAGCAGGTGGTATACACTGACCAATGATTGAAGGATTATTCCATTTTCCTAAAATTATTATCAACATAATTTCAAACAGTAATATAAAATCTTACTTGATGATAGATTATACATTGAGTGCTCATTAGTACGCCAGTCTCCATTAGATACCTCAATATATTTATAATGAGGTAGTTGTACAGCTGGTTTAGATCCTGCTCCTCCTATCATTAGTAAATGGTGTACTCCATCATGTTCAAATGATATCATTCCACCAGTACATCTCCTCATAACTGGTCTAGTTGCATCAGTTGGCTCTAATTCTCTCCATTGAAGACTAACGGTATCCAGTTGTGTAATACTGTTGTGGTCACATTCGTCATGGCCACACCATCCCCCGAAATAATACAATTGATCATTTATTGCAGTACAGAAGTATACTCTCACTCCTAATGGAGGGGTACCAGTAGTACCTCTAGTGATCCATTGACCAGTTGAAAGAGTAAAGTGTTGTATATTACTAGTGATCCTTCTCTTCTCTTCACTATCATGTACTTCAGGTAAACCATCCTGATGACCAGCCCACACATACAGTGAATCACCTACTGATACAGTGCGGTGACCAGCTCTTTTATTCAGTTGATCTATATATCAATGATTGACGGTACATGATACTGGAATAATAATATCAGGACTTACTTTTAGACGCCATAGCTACTGCTAGCCTGTGCTAGGCCTAGGCACAGCAGCCTAGTCTCGTGTGGCCAGACGCGAGACTAACAGCAGCCTAGCTGGCTGGCTGTAGCACTCGCTGTAGCATGAATAGTGATGGGCGATATATCGATTCTTTATCGATATAAACGATATTTTACGGAATCGATTTGAATCATTATCGAAAATTTTATGCAATTTTCATCGATATAATTATTGACCACGCCCATTTATTAAGGTTAAATAACTAATTTTAATAAGTAATTGCACTGTTGGACTGCAAGAAAGAAGCAACTGACCAGTTGTTAGCTCAGCCTACTTCAATAGGAAGAGAACCAAGCTCAGGAGCATGAAAATGATTAGGAAATGATCTTCTCTGATGTCCAGTACAGTTATATCTGTGCTAAAATCATTAGCCACACCCTTGACACACCCCAAAAAATAAGGTGTGGTTATCGTATCGTTAATAATCGATATTTCCTGAAAAAGTCCATTATCGATTGTTATCGAAAATTAAGAAAATTGGCCATATCGCCCATCACTAAGCATGAAGCTCCCCTAGGGCAGTGCCTAGGCCTATGGCGCGCGCGGCGGTGGGGCGCCGGCCCTTACTGGATCACGTGATATGCAAATTTGGGTGGGGCTTATCATTCATTCAATCATTTTTTGCAATTCGCAAAGCTCATCTCAAAGTACAACAATCAGTGATTGTTTACAGTGTTTAGATATTAATACTTTAAGTACATGAAAACAAGACAAATATTTATGATTGTGTGAAGGAATGTCTCCTTCTATCATGCATGTCCCTCCCTCCACTCTCTCTCTCATTACAAAAATGAAGAGATAGAGAACTAAAATTACTAAATGAAATTAAAACTCAACTAATATAATATAAGTATATGTTATAACATAGATGCAACATACCTCACTACATACATGTTTATATTTATTTTATTTTGTCATACAGTCATATGAAGCAAGTACGTTGTAATATGCAATTATGCATCAATTCAAAGGTGAGCTATCATTTCTTCCAGACAGTATTTCCAGCCACCATAGTTGCAGTTAGTGTGAGATCTTTGTCAAATAATAATAGATCAGCTCTGTTCGCTATAGCAATGGAACCAAGTCCTTTTAAACCAGCCACTCTGAGAAGAGAGAGAAAGGAGAACCACCATAGTGATTGATAGATACATGTACACTAGTATCTCTATTATTATTAATCAAAATAAGTAGGTACTGGGATGCATGTCATTACTAATGCCAATGTAACAAACTGGTGCTTCATAAAAGAGAACATATAGACATGCATCAGTTTTTCATGAATGATTTTAACTAATGAAAAGTAAGATGTACATACTTGTACATGTACAAAATAGTAGTACAACAGGGTTCTGTCTAGAAAAAAATTAGAGGTGGTTGGAGACTAATATTGTTCCTTTTAAATTTATGTACACCATACTAGTAGACCTCAATATCATGCTTTATGTAATTGTTAATACATGGGGCGGCATGTGCTATAGCCATAACTTAAAAAATTTTAGTCAAATTTGCTACACAGCATAAGTACATCAATATGAATCAAAAATGTAATAAAAATTGGGTGTAATTTCGGAGCCATTTTTTGTATGAAAACACAGAATTGATAAAAAGTTTATTTCCTTGATACAATGTATATGCAATATAATTACACTTACTTTGCTGGGTTTTCTGCTAGCATTCTTACAGCTTGAGGAATTGGTACATTTAATGTATTCACTAAATTATGAAATATATCCAACATGGATACACAACTACCAGCCAGTGTATTAGTCCCTTTAAGTAACATTGTCTTACAATCACTGGACACAATCACTGAATGAAGAAATAAATTTAAAGTAATAAAAAATAATTTGAGGGCTTACATGTAGGTTTAAATTTGGCAAGTACCGTATAGC